TTCTAATACATTAAAGACGCCATATTGAAAATTCATTAATTACTCGTTTTCTAATAAAAATTTTGGCACTTTTAAGCATACATCTTATAGCTAGAACTTCAGACAAGCTTCTTATATTAATTTTAATGTAAAATTCTTCGTCATTAAATATTTATTAACGATTATTATAAAGAATGTTACGATCGCAAATATCCCGTCGGTAATCGAATCATAAACAATTAATTTATTTATTTAATCGATCGCGCAAAGAATTAGAATATTTAGTATGTGCTCTATAATTCACAGAAGTAAATAACACAGACAAGCTTCATTCTTATTAATTATCTTATTAATTATCTTATTAATTAAAAATCATAATAGAATTATTATCTTATTAATTAAAAATCATAATAGAATATATAAATATAGATTTTATTATATTTATTTATATTTTATATGACATTATAAAATATACAATATATTGTACAATATATATATTTATTTATACTATATATATTATAATAATAAATATATATATTTTATATATATAAATTTTAATTAAAAGAAAAAAAAATCCATCAAAAATTTTTATATATATGTTTTAATGTATATAAATTAAATAAATTAATAAATATATATAAATAATTGTTTCTTCTTTTCTTCATTATTCATTTCTATATTCCCCATATATTCTATATTTCTTGCTTATTTAAATGATTTTTAAATTATAATATAATACGTTTTTTTCGTTCTTAATTTTAACCTAATTATTGATAAAATATATTTTGTCGATAAGTAAGATACCCATCAAAAAGTTTTCGACGCCAACGCCATCTCACGTTTGGATTCACGAAGCTCCGACTCGTTACTAGCATAACATGATACGCAAGGAGGTATGCGAAGTCATAGATAAGGAACGCAACATTGTGCGAGAAGGACAGAGAATATTTAAAAATACGCAATATGAAAAAATCATTAATTACTCGTTTTTTACTGAAAATTTCTGCACTTTTAAGCATGCATCTTGTAGCTAGAACTCCAGGCAACTTTCTCATATCAATTTTAATATGTAATTCTCTTTATTTATTTATTTATTAATAATTAACGCGTCATACGTTTTAATATATTAAAGACGCTATATTGAAAATTCATTAATAACGCGTTTTCCACTGAAAATTTCTGCACTTTTAAGCATGCATCTTGTAGCTAGAACTCCAGGCAACTTTCTCATATCAATTTTAATACGAAATTCTTTTTATTTATTTAATTATTAATAATTAACGCGTCATACGTTTTAATATATTAAAGACGCCATATTGAAAAATCATTAATTACTCGTTTTCTAATAAAAATTTCTGCAGTTTTAAGCATACATCTTCTAGCTAGAATTTCAGACATGCTTCTTATATTAATTTTAATGTAAAATTCTTCGTCATTAAATATTTATTAGCAATTATTATAAAGAATGTTACGATCGCAAATATCGGTAACCAAATCATAAACAATTAATTTATTTATTTAAATAACAAAAAGATTATGAACAAAAATTATACATGAATATAGAGCAGGAAACAAGATTTAAAATACATATATTCATATTTAGAAATAAATCTTATAATAATATGAAATTAATGAAAAATGCGTTGCATGTCGAACGTTAATTTACATATGATGCATTAATCGTTAATAATTAAATAATTAACAAGAATTTTACATTAAAATTGATAAAAGAAGCTTGTTTGAAGTTCTAGCTACAAGATACATGCTTAAAAGTGCAGAAATTTTCAATAAAAAATGAATAATTAATAAATAATAATAAATAATTTTCAATATAGCGTCTTTAACGTATTAGAACATATTAGAACATATGATGCATTAATTATTAATAATTAAATAAATAAAGAGAATTTCGTATTAAAATTGATATGAGAAAGTTGCCTGGAATTCTAGCTACAAGATGCATGCTTAAAAGTGGAGAAATTTTCAGTAGAAAACGAGTTATTAATGAATTTTCAATATAGCGTCTTTAACGTATTAGAACATATTAGAACATATGACGCATTAATTATTAATAATTAAAGAAATAAAGAT